GCTTCACTGGGGTCACAGGTCCAACATTTTTCACTCCTGCAAGAAGTGTGTTTACCCTAACTTGTGTAAGAAGACGAAGGAATGGTAGTTGAATTTTCACATAATCATATGAGTAGGCCCCATACCTTCATTGAATCGCCCATAGCCAGGCTGGACTTCAAGTTCGACTTCGCCTAGGTCTCGTCAACACAAAATCTTACTTAAAAAAGGAAACGAGAGTGTAACTGTTTTGACCCTGTTTTCGCAACTTGGTCTTGTTGTCATGGCAACTTAGCTGGAGACACCTTTTCCGAAATCTTCTGTCATTGTAGTTATCCTAATTCACAGCTTTGGACCGGGGACTTGGCACATTCCCACATCTTTCGTCAGTGCGCCTTGTCCTTTTCCGTGCCAAGTTACAAATCGTCAAAAAGACAAGTTAAATTGGACTGCAATCAAAGTAGAGGCCTCAACATTTTAGTATTCATATTTGATATGAATATAGCTTTTACTTTTTCATTTTTTTATTGAGACGAATCTTTCCTTTGTACTGAAAAGTCATGCCACAATAGAAGACTCCATCTATTTGTGGACAGGATGGCGTTACTCTTGTCCCTTTTATGCATCACTTATGGTCGTTATGGTACCAGTTTTAAGCTCAATCTCACTTGGAGCGAATATACGAATGACAATTAGTTGATCATCCTCCATTGTCAGCATTTCCGCTTCGTCAACTCTGACTGTTGCCTCGGCTTGACCCATCCCAGGGAGTAGCTGATGCAAGCCCACTCATTCGACCTTTGATTCTATCAGCATTTGCCCACGTGAACCACAAGGTTTTTGTGCTTGCCTCTTTTTGTCCGAAACCGGTGCCCTTCTTCCCGTCCCGATCGCATCCGTGACCCGGCCCGACAACCACCCACCTGGGCACAAGTCGCTCCAGCCGACTCAGCCAATTGTCAGGACTGACTTGCAAATGAGGCCCCGTTGACGGTTCACCAGAACTCAGGCCCGAGCCAACTGTAGCAACAACAGCGCTGTTGGTGCTGATGTTGGCGCCGGTTGAAAAGTTGACCTAAACAATCGGGAAAATTGAACGCCACTTCTCAAAGCTGCTTTCAACCGGCAGTCGCGAGGCCGCCTCCCTTCAGGACCGAGGACTCGGGACTCGTGACTAGTTGACTTATCAGTCAGGCAGCTGACTCTTTGTATAAAAATCTCTTAGCTGTGTTGTGTGTGTGTGTGTGTGTGTGTGTGTGTGTGAAAGGGGGAGGTGTTAGA